GGGTGGGTGCGAGTGTCCATACGTCTGATGTGTGTGCGCGCGCACACGCACGCGTGTGTGTTGAGACGAGGGGGGTCTCGCGATTGGCTCCGCGCGCGAAGTCGCTGGTCATTGTCAGGGCGCAGGCAACGGCCACGCAGGGAATGTTGCACATTATGCGTGTGCTGCACAGATGAGAAAAGTATTCACAGCTGTGCATGATTTGTGTGTTGTGTGTGTCTACACAATAAGCTGCCCGGCTTAAGCTATTGTTCATGATGATAGTGCCAGCTCACAGCAACCTGTTCGTGGCCCAGGGCCGCCCGCGCGACCAGCGGCGCACCCTGCAGCGGCAGGCTGACGTTGGTGGGCGAATTGGGCGCCAGGGTGGACAGCCGCACGCGCAGCTTCCCTATCATCCGCAGGTTGTCCCCAAAGACACTGCGCATCGACATCACCTGGCGGGGGTGGTTGAATGTGTATGTGGGGATAGGAGGGGTGAGCAGTGACTGATTGCTCAGGCTTCTGCAGCTGTGTGAAACGGGTGGATTGAAAATTTTTAAAGCGAGCACTGCTGGTACAAAGTGACAATGCACAGCTGGTGGGTCCAGCCAACCTCCAGGCCACGGTGAAGGTCGCAGCGGCGACCGCGCCTGGGCCATGCCCGCTGACGACGACAGAAGCGGCATTGTGCCCTGCAGGGGGACTTGGCGTGCATAACCAAGGGCCTCGCACCATCCTGCTCACCTTCTTGCCCCCTGACTGGTCGTCCCTCCTGAACAGCGCCAGGCTCAGCATAGCCGCGGGCTCCCAGACAGGCAGCAGCATGTGCTGCGGCGGCAGCAGGTGCAATTTGAGGGGCGCCTTGGAGCTGACATCGGGGCGCTAAGTGGTGGGGGGTGTTCCAGGCGTGTAGCCCAGAGCACTGGCAGCATTTTGCCAGCCAAGCATATGCAGCGACCCACGGATGCGGCGCGCACGCCTTGCGGGGCCCGCCTCCCTCTCAAGCCACCCACCCAGTTCCATGCCGGGTTGCTGGTGGAGTGCACTGTGGTGCTGATAGCCCAGTAGGGGCCCAGCTGCAGCACAAAGAAGCAGTCAGAGGGCCTGGTGGGCGCGGCAAGGGGATGTGCGGATTTGGAGAGGAGGGGACGCGGTGGATTATCTGGCAAGGGGCAGGTGAGGTGGAATTCGGGCGAGCGCGACGTGCAACCAGCAGCACATACCCAGAGACCCCTCACCGACACACGAAGCAATTACACCCATCCAGCTCACTTTTCCAGCTCAAAGCCCTTCACCACCACTTCAAACGCAGCGACGACCTCGGGGCAGTCGTACGGCGCCCCAAGCGCCGCCAGCGGCCCGGCCGCCCCCCGCTCGGCCGCCGCGCCGCGCCCGAACGCAGGCTCGGGTGGCGCAGGAGCGCCCGCCGCCGCCGCTTCCGCGCTGCTTGACGCTTGGCCCGGGCCCTGGCCTGCAGACGCAGCGAGGCTGCCTTTGCTGCTGCTGCTGCGGCTCCGAACCGACGACGAAAAGGCAGGCGCCGCTGCGCTGCCGCCGGCGGCGGCACCGCTGGCGCTGCTGCCGCCGCCGCCGTCGACGGAGCAGCCCACTGCCCACGGCGAAGGCGCTATGGGACCCGCGCCGCGCGCCGCCGCCGTCGACGCTGCCATCGCTGCAGCTGGCCCGCCTGACCCCGGGCTGGGGCGCTCGGCGGTCCCCTGCGCACCGCCTGCCGCGACGGGCGCCGCGGCGCCGGCCGGCCCAGGCCCTGAACAGGGCGGCTGGCCGGCCCCCATTTCCAAGGACAGGCGTGAAGCGCCGGCGGGCGAGCCTCCAAGCACAGAAGCGGCCGCGCCACCGCCGACCGACGACACCGATGCGACCGACGCGTCGCTCGCCGCGCGCTGCAGCTCGCTGCCGCGCCGCTGCGGAGACGCCGCCGCCACCGCCACTGCCGCAGGGGCAGGGATCGGGCGCGCAGGCGTGGGCCTCATGGACGGGGCAGCGGGGCGTGGGGCCGGGGCCGCGCGTGGGAGGCCTGCGCGGGCGGCTCTGTGGTCTGCATCAGCTGCCTGCAGAGAGACAAACAGCGTGACTGGGAATTGCGGGAACAAGGAGAGAGGTGGAGTATGTGTCAGGGGCGTGCCCGGACAGGTGCGCGTGGGATTGAGAATTTAAGAGTCGCAAATTGCGCCTGACGGTTCGCAAGGGGTGCAAGGCGGGCCTGCGGGCCCATGGGATGCACCGCTCCCAGCTGGCGTCACCAGCGGCGACCACACCCGGCCTTGCTCACACATGAAGACCACCCCCCAAAACCCCAGCCCCGCGTGTGTTTCGGCCCGCCCCTGCCTGCGGCTCTCACACGGCAGCCGCTCCCAGAACAGCCCAGTCAGCTGGTGCTCCCACACCGGCGCCTCCCCTCCGCCGCCGCCACCCGCGACCCAGCCCGCCACGCACGCCGCGGCCGCGCCGGCGCCCGAGAAGCGGCGTGCGGCGGGGCCGCCGGGCACGATGGCGGCCGGGTCGAGCAGCTGCGCCAGCGGCACCTCAATCTTCGCCACGGAGCGGCCCCGCTGCCTGCGGAGGGAGAGGGCCGGGCCCAGCAGCTCGTCATCAGCGACGTGCGCCAGCAGTGGATGAGCGGGGCGCACT